AGCTTGTGAGGGTTTATTCAAAGCTGAGTGGGAACTGAGCTTTCGGTGCCCCTATTACACATGCTGAAATGCAAAGAGCAGGCCGTTAACGTTCTGGAGATGGTTTTAATGTGTGTCTGTGGGTGACTGGGGACTGTGGGCGCCTGGGTGCTAGGCTGCCAGGCAGGGGCACTGTAGAGGGTGGTGGTGGGAGGGATGAAGGGATCAGAAATGTCACTGGCCAGCACTGCTTATCTCTTGTTTACAGGCACAAATAATAGGCCAAGGTCCTGTTGTAACAGCAACAGGATACTTGTGGCCACATATTATGAGTGACTAGACAGGAACTCTGGAAAGCGACAGAACTCCGTGCCAGATGGAGTGGGGGCAAAGGAGGGACCTTGGGTCAGTTGCTCTGTGGGTGAGGAGCAGTGACCCCTCTTTGCTCCCCCTCCCAGAAGAATGAAAGCTGGGGAGGGAAGAGGCTCTTGGCAGAAGATGAGGGATTTGTTTTTGAACACTCCCTCTGCCCCTGCTGGAGACAGAGACTGGTTCTATAGCCCAGGATGGCCTTGAACTTGTAATCCCTTTGCTTCCACATCACTGATACTGAGACTGTAGGCATGTTCCATCCTATCTGGATGGGGATGCATTTTGAAGTATGGCGTGACTCATATTCTTAGTTATGAGCATAGAACTTGTGGGACAATAAGGACAAGTGTCTGATTGGAGGGTTGAACCTGAGCCTTATCTCAAGGTAGTAGACAGGAAGTTGAGACAGTGAACATTCTAAAATAGGAGGTCGGAAGAGGAGCAGAGGGCCCTTCAGGCCCTGGAATCCCTCTCCCCACAGACATGCTCAAGAAAGGTTCTTGGAAATCCCTGGAGAGAAACATCTAGTTCTCAGAGCTAGACTGGACCCCTCTGTCTGTTTGGGACCATAAAGAGACCTCCCACTCCTTACAACGTCTGCTAGAACCAGGCGACTGGTGTTCCAGACTGGAAGGCTTTTCAGAGCCCAGCAACTACTTCTTGTTTCTGATTGCAGCCTTTAGTGACCTGGGGTCAGTTCTTGATGAGGACATCAGTCTAACCTGCCTGGTGCCTGCTTCCTCCAGCTCAAGACATCAATCATGAACTGGTAATCTAGCCCCCATGGTCTGGTGCAGACAGGTGATGGCTGAGCTTGGTCCATGCCTGCTCCAGCCTGGGGCATGCTGGTCACAACTCCACAGAATGAGTCATATGTTGCCGGCCCGTCCTGGCCCTTTCTGTCCCCTGTGGCTTGAATGCAAATGTCACCCGTGGGATCCTTTCCTTGTGGGACTTTATTTATTTATTTATTTTTAAATGCCATATTGGAAAGGACATTTGTCTTCTCTTCTGTTTAAATTGCTTTCCATGGGTTTGGGAGACCTGGTCATCGATTTTCTTTTAGAGTGTGTAGAAAGTGCCGTGAAGATTTTGGCTAATTAACTTTTGGAGAAGTGCTGCTTACATTCATCCAGGAGGTTGAAATCTTTTTTTTCCTCCTCCCCTATCTTCAAGAATGGCTTTTAACTATTGTTTTCAAGTACTGCAGGCACCCAGTCTGATTAAAGCTGACGTCTTCTCTGGAGACAGATGATGGTCTAGAGGCTGTGGGATGTCACTTTGTGAGGCTCCAGTCCTTAGCGCAGTGGGTTAGAGGCACTTGCTGAGCATGTCCAACGACCTGAGTTCAATTCCTGGAACCCATGTCAAGGTGGAAGGCGAGAACTCTGGTATTTAATATTTATAAGATGTTTCATTCACACGAAGTTTACACTTCTGAGAACCCACATTTCCCCCAGCACGCCTGTGAGTACTGACACTGTATATTCAGAGAGCAACTCTGTTCTCACTGTGTCCCAGCTTTGTTGGCTTTCTCCTCCATTCAGTATAAGGCACAGATGTTGGACTTCACTGTTCATTCTTAGTGAGCCCATCTTCTTGTTCCTCTTATGTGGGCCAAAGCTGTTGGAAGCGAGGAGCATGGCGGGGACATTTGCCTTGAAATCTTTCTGTGGATCTCTCTGGTACAGGCCTCCAGAGGTCTATCTGGAGGAAAGAAATCCTGTTCCAGGAGACGAATTTTACCCTACCCACTCCCCCCTTTTTTTGGCTCAATTTATAATTTTATGTTTTCCCCTCCCTTAACCAGAATTTCTCAGGTTGAACTAGTTAAGATCTTTTTTAGAAAAGGTCATGGGATGAGCCTGGGCGGATGGTGGTCCTCCCATCCGTCACCTTGGCCCTGGGAGGCTGAGGCAGGAACACGGGCTACGTGGTAAGATCCTGTCTGAAACAAAACAGCAGACTATGGGAAACCTCCCCCTCTGGTACTCTGAGCAGTTCCCATCAATGTGGCATGGATGGTCGCTGCTGGAGACCCTGGGCAGGCTGTATCATCTCACATGGCTTAAACTGCCTGTAAATGGTTCTGTTCCCCTGAGACACATTGCCTTAGTAGGGGGAACCATTCAAGCTGGTGAGACACAGGCAAATACTTTGTCGAAAGCGTTCTTTATTTTTGATCAATCTTGTGGTCCTTGTTAGTATCTTTGATTACATCAGATTATGTGCCGTTCCATTTTATAGCATTTTAATGGGCTTTCTGCTCCCCTCCCCAGTTCATTTCCTGCTGTGTGGTTATTAGGATTTGATGGTAGCTTGGTTTTGTTATTGCCGGGATACCTTCTGTGTGTGCTAACCCTTCCGCGTGAATGTGGGGATCTTCAGAGGTAAAGAGAGGGAGTGGGGGATGGGAGGGGAGTAGGGGTGGGGTGGAGATTTATTGTTTGTTTCTCAGAGGCTTGTCAACAATTAAATTACAGATGAACTTTCCATGACTGTATTCGCCAATTGTAAGATGTTTGCTTTGAATGCTTTGGTAGGAGGTTGGTGGGATGACTTGGGGGCTAATGGTGCTTGCGGAGCAAGCCTTAGGACCTCAGCTCCATCCTTGATGGAAGGAGAGAACTGTTTCTGCGAAGTTGTCACACGTGCCTTGCCCCCCTACGTGCCCTGCTCCCACACTCACACACTAGTGATGATGATGATGATAAAAATCAGAATAAAAATAAAAAACCTTTAGTAGAATCTGACCCATTGACTTAAAAAAAGAACAGGAAAGGCTGCTTAAAACCTTGCTGTCCAGCAAGCCGTAGTGGAGTGGGCTGGAATTAGAACCGTATGCATTGCTGGTGGTCCTGTGAAATGGCGGAGTCACTGTGAGAAACAGTATGGTAGTTCTTTCTTTTCTGACTTGATTTTTTTTTTATTAAGAAGATGTCTGGTTAAATTTATCATAGCTTATCCAAATGAACTGAGAGAGAAAACAGCTTGAGAAAACACCAACAAAAGCGTAAAGAGAACAAATTCTTTCTTGTAGCAGCTGCTGCAGAGTGCAAGCAAATCTTTCTCACTTTCTGTAGGGATGCAGTTGAGGAAGAGCACCTTTGGTTTCTAAGCCCTTCTTCAGGAACATTCCATTTACCAACCACACAAGCTCCACAGTGGAAGAGTCTCAGTAGAAGAAGAAGCAGAAATTCCCCTACACGGGAGGCCGTCTCTGTTCTGTAATTATGGAACGAGGAACCAGAATTCACTTTTCAGCTTAGAAAGCTGATAAACTCAAAAGTGTCAATATTTTTAACCAAGGGCACAAAATCCCATAAAGTTTATATAATCCACTGTTTCAAGTGCTAAACATTTGCAAAACGAGGCCACCTAAGTCCCTTCCCAACAGAGTAAAATATAGTGGCATTGTCAGAAGGAAATTAATTCACAAAATAATAAAGCACTTTGTATATTATGCTGGCTACATTTTTGCAAGCTGGGAACAAGTTAGAGTCATCTGGAAAGAGTGTGTTAGTTGAGGGACTGTCTCCATCAGGTTTGAGTGTAGGCAAGTCTGCAGGACACTTTCTTTTCCTTCTTTTCCTTTTTTTAAAGAAATTTCTTTTTTTCTTTTCTCTTCCTCCTCCTCCTCTTCTTCTTCTTTCTTCTTTCTTCTCCTTCTCCTTTTTCTCCCCCCCTTTTTAAAAAGAAAACAAACTATCTTTTTTTCATTTTACATACCAATCTCAGTTCCCACTCCCTGGTAGTTCTTAAAAAGGAAAAAAAGGAAGAAATAAAATCAGAGTTTCCACATGGTCCATCAAATCCACTCTTGGGACTGAATTCTAAATAATTGAAAGTAGAGGCTTGATATTTATACCCCTATGCCCACAGGGTATTGTGACGTATTTTCTATAGAGAGTATGGTTATTACATTCACAGTGATTAGTGCATGAAAGCCTCCAGGTATCCACTGGCTGATGACCTGATAAGCAAAGTATGCAATATAATACAGTCAGAAACAGAAGGACATTCTGACATATATTACAGTCTGGATGAGTCTAGAATACTGTGATATGCTAAGTGCAATATGTTGGCCTCAAAAGGTCCAAATTATATGAAGTACTCGACTCACAGACATCAAATTGACTCTGTTTAAATTGGGTTGCTATCCTGCAAACCAGGATGGCTTTATATTTGTGTCTTCAACTCTGGACGTTGAATTGCTTTGAGTTCAACTGTTATTATTATTAATTTTGTCCTAACTAAAGAACATATGTCTATCTACGTGTGTGTCTGTATGTATAAATGCTACATACATGTGCCTGCATGGAGGTCAAAGGACATTAAATCACCTGGAGTTTGAGTTATAGGTGGTTGTAAGCTGTTTGACCTGGGTGCTAGGAACCAATCCCTGGAAGAGCAGTGACTGCTCTTAACAGGTGAACCTTCTCTCCTGTAACACGAAAGGGCCAGGCCTTTTTGTTATTTGGGTTTTCTGTTCCGCCCCGTCCCAGCTATTTAGTCCCAGAGAAAAATCACACTAAAATCTCTGTAAGTTATAATGCTGATTGGCCCGTTAGGTCAGGCTTCTTACTGGCTAACTCTCACATCTTGATTAACCCATTTTTCTGATCTATGTTAGCCATGAGGCTCAGTACCTTTTTCAGTGGGGTAGCTCACATCCTGCTGCTTCGGTGATCTGGGCAGGAGTGGGAGGAATCAACTTCCTCATTCCCATAATTCTCCTGCTCTCCTTGCATCATTTCCACTTCCTGTCTGGTTTTCCCGCCTACACCTCCTGCCTGGCCAATCAGCGTTTATTTAAAAACATGATTGACAGAATACAGACAATTCTCCCGCACCACTCTCCAGCCTCATTATTTTAATTTTTATTAATTAGAATTAATCTTTGGCAATTTTATACACAGAATGCATTCTGATGACTGCCCCTACCTCTCTTACAGCTCACCCACCTGCGTCAACCGCGCCTCTTCCAGATGAGTTCCTGTCTCAGAGTCTTGTCTTTTTGTTTTGTTTTGTTTGTTTTGTTTTGTGTCTTACTGTGTTTAGGGAGGGTTGTGTGACCAGGGGTTGGGACTATGCACTGGAGCCTAGTGGGTTCCCTTTGGTGTTTGCACAACTAGGGACAGTGACTTCCCCTTCTGTAGCATCCCTCAGCAATTCCCAAAGGGGTGGGGGAGTGTCAGACATTATTTTAAATACTTCTCTTGTTTGCTTTTGATCAGAGAAAGTTCTTTTTCTTTTTGTTTTGTTTAGTTTTTGTTTTGTTGTTGTTGTTGTTGTTTTTAGACATGGTTTCTCTTTGTAACAGTTCTGGCTGTCCTGGATCTCACTTTGTAGACCAGGCTGACCTCAAAGTCAGAGAGATCCGCTTGCCTTTGCCTCCTGAGTGCTGGGATTAAAAGCATGTGCCACCACACCCTGCCCAGAGAAAGTTCTTTTTCTTTAACTGTGGGTGTATATCCATGGTGTCCTTCCTCAAATGCTTCTTACAATGAATGGGTGAACATCCACAGGATGTCTCCTCTGCCCTTGTAGTCTTGGTTTATCCTAAATACCCTTCTGTCACAATAGGAACCTGGGTGAGTTTTGGCAACTTCTGAGAGTAAAGTGTACCGGTGCTCAAAGAGTGGGCTCTGGCTCTGGATGTTCTCTAAATCCTATGCAGAACATTGTTACTGAACCACCTCCAGGGGTGGCCATATCTCAGCTGGTCGCCTTTACTGGTGGTGTTTGTTCTTTGAGTCTATTTTAAAGGATTTTCTAAGCGATTTGGTAGATTTGGGACAGGAAGTAGAATCTGGTAGAGATTTGATGACAAATGGGGCTCCTGGTGCTCACCAACTTAGTTACTATTAATGCGGCTTCTTCCTGGGAAGAGGGTCGGGACCGCTTCCCTCTGGTTGTGTTTCTTCGCCCCCTGGTCTCACTCCTTTTCTTTCTTGCCTCCCGTAGGCTTGGGGACCAGTTCTACAAGGAGGCTATTGAGCATTGCCGGAGCTACAACTCACGACTGTGTGCAGAGCGGAGCGTGCGCCTCCCCTTCCTGGACTCGCAGACTGGGGTGGCCCAGAACAATTGCTACATCTGGATGGAGAAGAGGCACCGAGGCCCAGGTGAGCCATGCCTCTGCTGGGACCAGCATGCACCAGGGCTCCAGTTTGGAGGAAGGAGTCTGGGAGTCCACACAGCTGGGTGGGTTGGGGTTCAGATAGTCCTTTCTCCAAGGGACCAGATAAGGATGATGTGATGTATTTATCGTAAAGAAACCCAATGAAAGGGGTCTTCATTTTTCACCCTTGGGTGTTGACTAAAAGTCTGCAGATGTGCTCAGTTGTGGGAATAAGGCTTCATTTTGTCATCAGAACTCTGTCCCTGATTCTCGTCATCTGTGAAGTGTGGATGATCTCAGTATTTACTACCCAGAGTTTATCGGGATTAAATGACACTATCTATGAACAACTCAATATGGACATGCTCTAAAATGCTCCATGTTGTTGCTGTCATGACCAGGATTCTAATCTAGGCTTCTTAGAATCGAATAAACCCCACTGGTGTAGATTAGGGAGACAGCTAGCTCTAGAAATGCAGGTTTCTGTGGTCTTAGTTATTTTAAAATTTAATTGTATGCATATGTATATAAGTGCACATAACTATTCCCATGTGTGTGCATGGGGTGTGTTGAAACATATCTCTTCACCCTCTTTTTTGAGGTAGGGTCTCTCACTTTTATCCAGAGCTTGCCGATTCAGCTCGGCTGGCCAGCCAGGGTGTGTGCATTTACCTGGGTTCTGAGGATTGAACTCAGATCTGTGCTTTTGTGGTAAGCACATGACTGACTGAGCCTAGCCTTTGCCTCCCCCCAAACTCCACCCCCATATTCGGCAAGTCTCACATAGCCTAGGCTGATTTCAAGCTTGCTGTGGAGCCAAGTCAGACTTGCTATGATCTTGACCTCCTCTTGGTCTTCTTGCCTCTGCCTCTCAGGTGCTGGGATTAAAGATATATACCACACCTGGCTCTGCATGAGTATATTAAGCAAAATTTTGTTTTGCAAGGTTTCTTACTCGTGTAAAATTTGGATAACGGCAGAGGAAATTGAAATCCTCACGGCCGAGCTCCACAACAGTCACCTATGGCCAATCATTTCGTTCTTACTTAGCTGTCACCTTTCTCCCTGACTCTGGGTGACTTTGAAGTAGATCTGGGACAACGCATCATTCCATGTAGAAATACTGTGGACTTAAAATGTCAAGCCAGTTGGATGCAGTGGGACATGCTTGTAATCACAGTATTTAGGAAGCTGAGAGAAGAGGATTGCAAGTTGAGGTTGACCTGAGACACACGACAAGATTCTACCCAAAAAGATAAAGGAAAAGACCAACCCTTCCCACAATTGTGATCAAATCAGAGAGTCAGCATTCATTTCTCCCACTGCCTCTAGCACGAGCCAGGCTCCAAACAGGATTCCTACATTGCAACTGGTGGAGGTGCCTCTCAGAAGCCTACAGCCTTTTCTCTGACACACACTCTCTCCCTTGTATGCTGTTTGTTGAAGACACTGGGTTGTTTGCACTGTAGGGTTTCCCCAGCTCAGATTTGCTGATTGCATCCCCATGGTGTCATTCCTGTGAGTCGGTAATTAGGTCTAGAGACTTAGTCAGGCACTTCTCTCTCTCTCTCTCTCTCTCTCTCTCTCTCTCTCTCTCTCTCTTCCCTGGCAAGGGTAATTCCGAAGTGGTAGTTTGTGCCTTCATCAGGAGGGTTATCTTCCATTTATTCATGTTAGTGGTCCTTCATGATAATCCATCTAGATTCTTATTCCATTAAGGGTTGCAAAAAAAAAAAGTGGCCTTTGATTGGGGGCCATTGTTGTTTTTTCATTTATTAGCTCTACAGCTTCTATAAAGAAAAGCATCCTCTCATTAAAGCTTTGGTTATTGTGAGGTACAGCTGACATGAGATAAATGGCATTTCCCCTGTATTTACCAGGTTTCAGAATAATGAGTTGGTTCCTTCGTATTGTCCGAAGCTGATCAATACAGTTATTTTAAGTGCTATCATGAACTCGGACTTAAACACATTTGATGCACTTTAATCCATTGGGGTTGTTATTCTGATTGATGGTTACATGGTCCCACCTTCAGCCAGCAGGGCTTTGGAAACAGCCCCGGTCCCTTCTGAAGGTTTCCCTGGCATCCTAGTATCAGGACAAATCGATGCAGGCTCACCTACTGCACTTCCTGCCTTGGACCAGATGGAGCTGCTTCTCCTAGGAGCCCCGGGTTCTTGTTTTTACAGGAAAGTTTTAGAAGCAAACATCTAAGTGATTCACGGCTTCTAGATTTATCATTTCTCAGGCTTTTCAGCCAGTGCAGCTATAAAGTATGATATTCTTAAGTGAAATATGCTGTGGAATTCTACTATCCTAGGTAATTCAGTTTTGAATAGTTGGTACTTAACTATTTTTTATTCTATCTTGCCCTTTCAGACATCCAACACACACACGCGCACGTGCACACACACGCACACACACTCCCTGTGAATGCACGCATGTTCATTCATACATGCAAAATGTATGCATGCATACAACACATATGCACACATACATGCAAAATACATGCATGCATACAACACATATACACATATACCCTCAAACATGGATTTAGTGATACCAATACTCTTTATCCCATACAGTGCTCACAAACAGACACAGCATCATAGTAACAACAAGACTATTCATAGTAAGATTACTGGACAGGGTTTAAGATTTTTTCTTCCCTTTTGCCTTTTGTAGGTCTTGCTCCCCTTAGGCTGTAGTGTCAAAGCATTCTGCCTTAAAGTCACTTCAAATAGTTTTCTGTGTTGGTTGTGACAGTAAGTCTCCTATACGGTTGGATTTATAGGTTTCGTTTTGGTTTTGCTTATTAGGGGTTGCTCCGTGCAGGGGTTCCATAGAATTATTTTCTTAAAATTAGCTTCTCATTTTGAGTCACTGTATAGCTCCTGGAAGCTGCAAACAGTACAGAGAACGCCTTTCTGATTCTCATTCGCTGTCCTCTAAGATCGCACCGGAGTAACATACCACAAAATGATACTGGTAAAATGGATGTAAAGAGCTCTTGCCATCCTTTTAAAATTTAAATCAATTTTAAAATTCAAATACATTTTGATCATATTCTTCTGTTCCCCTAAGTCCTTCCATATCCTTTCCCCTTCCCTACCCACCCAACTTTAAATTCTTTCTCAGAAAACAGGCAAAACCCCAATACAGTAACAAATTCCCCAAACCAAGAAAACAAAATAAAACACTACCCAAAAGGAAATCAAAAAACACCAGATCATAACCAAATGAAAACACACACACACACACAAACTCTGGAGTTTATTATCTGTAGGTCAGCTGCTCCTGAATGTGAGGTCTTCCCTGGGGTGGCTGATCTGCCCAGGGCTGCTCCGCTGGAGAAAACTGGTTTTCCCTCTCCCAGCAGGTAGAAATGACAGTTTAGGTTTTAACCTTTTCCAGGGTCTAAGTTTTTATTTATTCATTCATTTTCAAAAGATATAACAAAATAGGATATAATCAAACAAAAACTGTCACATTGAAGTTGGACGAGACAAACCAACAAAGGAAAAGAATTCAAAGGAAGGCACAAGCTTCAGAGGCCCGCGCGTTCACACCCTCAGGAATCCCATAAAAACACTAACCTGGAGTCCTAAGTGCAGAGGCCCGGGCGCAGACCCGTGCAGGCAGGCCCTCTGCTGCTCCAGTCTCTGCGAGTTCCTGTGGGCTTGGCTCATAATGATTTAGAGGGCCTTGTTTATCTGATGCCTCCATATCCTCTGGATCTTCCACTGCCTCCTCTTCCACAGGGTTCCCTGGAGACCTTGCCTTTTTATCACAGGTAACCAACACCACAGTCAAGACCTGAAACCATTTCCTCACCGTAGAGGTCTTTTTCATAAAACCCCTTTATAACTGCACCTAATCTTCTCTCTCATCAAATTCTCTCACCGTCTCCAGTTATAAAATAGCTGCCCAACTGACCAGGTGGCTCGGTTGGTTAGACGGTGGTACTAATAAAATAGCTATCTTAAACATTTCCCACCTATTGAAGGCCACATCAGATGATCAAGCACAACCTAGAGTATTTGAAAATTTTTTTTATTACATTTACGTAACGATCTGTGATAACTTTTAAGTTTCCTTCATCAGAGAACATGTTGATTTTTCCTTCATTCCCAAAGAATACTTTTTATGGATATAAAGCTACAAATTGATAGTCCTTTTTGAATAGCGTTTGGACAATTTGTAACTTCTTCAGATGGATTGTGATGAGGAAACTGCTGTCAGTCACGTGGGTTTCCCCTGCTACGAGAAGGTCCGTCTTCTACCACTGTCAAGCCTTTGCTTTTAGTTTTCAAAAGTTTAATTTTGATGTGTCTTGGGATGGATTGGTTTAGCTTTATTTTATTTGAAGCTTACTTGGCTTCCTGAACTTAGAATTTTTTTTTTTACTTCAATTTTGAGAAATTGCTAGCACCATTTTCTTTCCTTTTGAGATTCTGACAGCACACATTTTTTGCTCCCTAGGCTCTATTTTTTGTTTAAAAATTTAAACCGTGATTACGTATGAATGTTCTGCCCACATGTGTGCAGTGCCTGCAGATGCCAGAAGAGGGCGTTGGATACCCTGGGATTGGCATTACAACAGTTGTGAGCTGCCATGTGGGTGCTGGGTATCAAATCTGGGTCCTCTAGAAGAGCAAGGAGTGCTCTTAACTGCTGAGCCATCTCTCCAGCCCCCTAGGCTCTATTTATTTTGTTTTTCAGTTCCTTAATTAGATATTTTCTACAATTTTATCTTTCATTTACTGCTTCTTAGAATTTTCTCCTGATGAGCTTCACCCATGAAGAATATTTTTGTTCTTTGATTACTATTTTTCTTCTCAGTTTTCTATTTGGTTCCTTGTATTTTTGTGTATTTTTCTCTTATTGAAAATAGACTGAAAATAGAACCTACAAAGATGTCACTGAGTTCATTTTGTGTTGGCTATCTACTTTTCTGAGACCTACAGTTTCATGGTCACAAATGATAAAGCATTTTTATGATGG